AATGCAAATGAATTATTGCAAATATTTGCAGTTACCCACTTTAAATATATAATTTACTGATTAATTAAAATTCTATTTCAGGTTGTTGTTAATATGCCAGATTGTATCTACAGATAATTTATTATTGGGCTAGTAACAAGGGTGCTAAATTATAACGATACCCTACCTGTAGCAGTTTCTTAGGTTTAATGATTATACTGCAAACTTTGTAAAATTAATGCATATTTTTATAGACTCCAAAACTAATGAAGAAAAACGATACTCCCATACTCGCCATATGGGTGTTTATACATTGAAACGTTTGTAGATTAATGATGTACGCTCTGACAGACTTTGAAACTTTGCATCATTGTGGTCAGAAAGATGCTTTACCTGAGTTTGAATGTGTAAATCATTTAGAGAACAATGAACACATGTCTAAAATAAGCAGAATTTAATATTTAATTTACTCTTTCATAGCTTGGCCAGGGACCATCATCACAAAACACGATAGCTTGTTGTGAAGATGTTGTTATGCTTAAATCCAGTGATACCAAATATGTGAATAGATCATGCACAGTCAGTGCGTTACATCATTAAATGAATAAACTGTCCCAAAGGAGAGAATAATAATAATAATAATAATAATAATAATAATACATTTTATTGCAAAGGCGCCTTTCTGGACACTCAAGGTCACCGTCCAAAAGATTAAAACACAACAGGAGAAACAAAGTCAAAACACAGAATAAAACTATTTAAAAAATACAAAAAATACAAAGGAGGGGACAGGGAGATTAATATAAAAGAGAAAAGGCTATTTTAAACAGATGCATTTTAATTTGAAATGGAGAAGTGAGTCCATGTTTCTAAGTAAGGGTGATAAAGAGTTTCAGAGGTGGGGGGTACAGCGGCTGAATGCTCTGCTCCCCATTGTGGTGAGACGGGCAGAAGGGACAGACAGGCAGTGGTGTCAAAAGTACACACATTTGTTACTAAAGTAGAAGTATAGATACTGCAGTTTAAAAACACTCTGGTAAAAGTTGAAGTATCAACTTGACCTCTTTACTCAAGTGTAAAAGTATGTGCTCCAAAAACTACTTAAAATATAAAAGTATAAAGCAACCTTTAAAAAAAAACAGCCAGATGCAACCAGATTGCTTCTGATGATTTCCTTTGGCATCAGCATAAATTTGACGAATAGCTAACCAATGAGTGTTTGCGTTTTATGACTCATCCAATTACACTAGTTTTCACTAGATGTGGATGGCGCCAATGATCTGCTTTGGATGACACACATGACGCGTAATAATAATTTATAAACATAAAACTGAGGCCAAGAGTAACAAGTAACGTTTGTTTTAAAAATGTAAGAAATACTGTAGAAAGTACAGATACTTGTGTGAAAATGTAATGAGTAGAAGTAAGAAGAAAAATAAGTAATGGAGTAAAGTATTGATACCTAGAAAGTGTACTTAAGTACAGGGAGTTCCTGTTATAATGCGGGCAACTGAGTTCTAAGACGTGACGAGGCTGTGAACCAGGATGGCAGCAGTGTGAGGAGGGAGGGAAAGATGGAGGCGGTTGATGCTTCTTAAGTAGACGTTGGCACACCGGGTGATGTTATTGATAAGGGATTGAATGTATAGGGTGCTATCAAGGATGACACCCAGACTCTTAACATGAGGGGACTAAGGGGAAAGCTGCTGGTTTTGGAAAGAGTTGATTTAGTTCCAATAAGTTGAACTACTGTTTAATTGAAGGAAATTGTTGGTGAACCAGGCTTTTATTTCAGAGATGCAATCTGTGAGGGAGGTGGGCGGAAGAGAAGACAATGGTTTTGTGGTGAGGTAGAGCCAGGTGTCATCGGCATAGCAGTGGAAATGAATGTTGAATTTGCGGAAGATGTTGCCAAGGGGAAGGAGGTAGATGATGAAGATGAGGGGGCCCAGGGCTGTCCTGTCCCATGAGAAGACAAGTATTAGCACATGATATGCTGAAATCCAGCTGATGAAGATTCTCAGTCATCCAGGTCATAGTCACTCTATAAAAGTAAAAAAAATCCACTGGACTTGGTTTACAAAATTTGAAGACGTTTCGCCACCTCTCCAGGAAGCTTTCTCAATTCAAATGTCTGGATCCGCAGTGAGTTTGAGTCTTTATATAGACAGAATCATAGACAGGTTTCAGATATTACAGGCTAACAATGGAACCAAACGACCCACTCATCAATTACCATTTGCATGTTTCCAAGCAATACAAGGCCTTGTCTATATAAAGACTCAAACTCACTGCGGATCCAGACATTTGAATTGAGAAAGCTTCCTGGAGAGGAAGCGAAACGTCTTCAAATCTTGGAAACCAAGTCCAGTGTATTTTTGGAACTTTTACGGAAATCCAGCTATCTACCGCAACATTTGGAGACAATGTGAAAGACTGTAGCTTAGGCTTGATACTATTTTAATAAAACCTTAACTTTGCAAGACCTCTTAAGATTCTACCTCTGATAAGACCCTTTGAGAAATCGATTCTTTGGATGTATATTTTTGGTGCTGTGGCTAGGTTTAAGTTGTGACTAGTTGTGACTTTGTAGATGGTGGTTCTGTCTTTGTAATCCTTGTTATCGTTGAAAAAGGAAATAATGATTTTGGGAACAGTCTCTGTGGTTTGAATCAGTTTCCAGATGTGGATGGCATGAGAAAATTATGCTCCTGGATAAAAGTCCACCTGGGAAAAGAGATAGGAGTCAATCTCTTCAGATCAGAATCCCCAATTATGATGATGGGTCTTCTGGGTTTAATCCTCCAATTGGCAAGTTTGTCTCCCTGCTGTTTTTTAGTGGTATAAATGCTTTTGCTGGATTCAGCATACCACCAGTTATTTCTTCTCTTTTTATATGGAACACTTTATTCATTTAGTGGTATAACACACTGACTGTGCTTGCCAGATACACATATTTGGTATTTCTGGGGGTTTTTTTAGGTTTGGGGTATATAACAAGTTTACATTAAAATTTTAAACCAACTATCCAATTTAATATTTGGGAGATCTTAGAGATGAGGAGAAACATTCTTAGATTGATCTAAGCATTGTCCTGAAAGTTTGTTAACAGAGTAATAGTAGAAGTAACTTTCGTTTTGGTCGATTGTTGTATCATTCCAGGGGAGAGAAGGTCCGAAACATCCAGTTGCAGGATGACTTCCTGCCGAGAGGCAAAGACAAAAACCGCGAGATTAAAACTCAGGTAGACAAAAACTCAGTTTGACTCAGCAAAACTCAGCTTGGTTAGAGTACCCAAAACTGGCAAACACTCTGGCGTCGAGGTAGTGGCAGTCAGCAGCTTAAGAGCACTCCGTTAACGAGGAAACCCTCCGCAGGTGTGTGAGGGGGCGAACCAGGACCAGGCGCCACCTGGTGGAGGAAGGAAGACGAACACACAAACCACAAAGGAGTCCTAACATCAAGTCTGACACGGTTTTTAAACACAAATAAAAAGGTGCATGGTAGATACTCTGGAGACAAAACTGCTGTTCTGAGGATCGCTGCTGGTTGGTTCTTTTAATCACCATAATAATGAGTTTTAGTTTAAAGTGTCTCTTCTGTTGAAGGAGTCTGCGTTGCTTTTTCCTGCACGCTGAGCACCATTATCACAGCAACCTCATTTCAGGAAAAAAAAGATTTTCACTCAGACATCCAACATGTCTAATGAAGCTGTTGTTTGTGGCTGAGGAGGAACAATACCGGGAGCGGATGGAAATGTTTTTCTGTAATAAACCTTTGGCCCAATCTGTCAGAAAAGCCCCTTCAGGTGCCAGACATCTGCTTCTGTTTCACTTCTTCTCCTGGTGTCTGCCCACTCCACGCTAGGAGCTGCCATTAGCCAGGTGGGGCTCAGCCTGCTCATCCCTTTAGCATCTGATACTGTAGATGCAGGGCTGCTTATCACCCACCCAGCAGCGAATCCAGCTGTAAGCAGACGCCTCCCAAACACTGCGGCGCAGCATCGGTAATCCTCTCAGATCCAGGCAAGGGCAGAAATCCGCCATTGTTTGTTTGTTTAATTTCAAGCTTAAACAGGAGCGGCGAGCGGGCCGAGAGGGTTCAGTCAATTACACCCTCAATGTGCAAAGTGACCCTGTTCAGTCTGCTGTCATAATAAATAACAAACACTTGGCAGCCCGTCTCCATTCAGAGGAAGCAGGACTGGGTTCCTGTCATTAAAACACCTGGTGGATGTGTGGACTGGTTCTGTTGGGCTCATTGTTCTGGAAATACACAGTGGTGTGGGAAAATTTTCGCCCCGCCACAGATTTGTTAATTCTTTGCCTTTCTGCCACATTTTATTGTTTGAAATCATCAACCAAACCTTAATGTACCTAAAAAAAAAAAAAGTCTTGATAACAGTTTGAATCTGATGCTTGTTCATTTTCTTAAAATCCTGTTCTCTATTTTAGGGCTGAAGCAATTAATTGGATTAATCAATTATTAAAATAATTGTCATGAAATTTAGTAATCAATTTATTAATTAACTGGAGAATAGAGACTGTAGCTAATCGAGCCTTTAGCTAATCGAGCGACCCGCTTAGAGCAGTAACTATACCAAAATTGTAAAAAAAAAAACATTTTGTATTTAAGATAAAAACTTTTTCATCCGTCAATCTGCTGTATTCAGGACTCCTAGTGGAAAAATTATAGTTTCACCTGGTTTCATATTGCAAAATGTCCTCTTTAAGGAAACTTTGGCTATCCGATTATTAATCGCAAAAAACAATCAACAGATTAATTGATTTGTAAACTAATCATCAGTTGCAGTTCTATTCTGCTTCAGTTTAGTTCTACTAGGATGGGATGGAGACAACCCCTTCCTCATTTATTTCTGAAACGGTCATAGAAGCAGAAACAGAGATTCTGGAAAGGAGAGCAAATACTTCACAGCTTTTACCTCCTCCTTGTTATGTAAGCTAAATATTGAATTTGTGAAATTATTCTTATTTTTCCTCTTTCCCTGTGGTTCTGAGCAGAAATGCATGAGGTTTAACCCGGATGCGACGGTCTGGATCGCCAAACAGCGGATCCTGTGCACGCTCAATCAGACCCTGAAGGATGTGCTGAACTACGGGCTCTTCCAGCCAGCGAGCAACGGGAGGGACGGAAAGTTCCTGGATGAAGAGCGCCTCCTTAGAGAGTACCCGCAGCCAATCAGCAAGGGGGTCCCCTGTTTGGAGGTCAGTTTTTCTCCTCATCACAACACACAAACTTTTAATGAAGAGTTTTATTAGTTGGTCCAAGAAATGGAACTGGATCAAATTCTTATCGGAACCACTAGATTTCGGGACGTTTATGTTAATCAGGATTTTGGTTCATGCTTCATAGAGTTTTAGTAAAAATTATTCTCTCTGTGTGTCTCACTGTGATTTCAAACTAATTTATTTATAATATCTGGTTTAATGAGCTCAAATAAAAGTAACATCAGAAGCTATTACAGATTAAATCATTTTATAGCAGTTTGCGTTTCTTTAATCTTTAAATCTCTGGATGTTAAAGAATAAAGATGTGTATAAAAAAAGATGAATATATATATGATTAACTAGGACTGGGAGTTGTAGTTAATTGATAGATCATTCAAAATTAAGGGTAAAACCAGTTGAATGTTCAAAATGTCTGGATTCGCCTCAAACTCGATGCGAACCCAGACATTTTGAATTGAGAAAGCTTCCTGGAGGGGAAGCGAAACATCTTCAAACCTTGGACACCAAGTCCAGTGGATTGTTTTTTTAAACTTTTACGGAATTAGTAAAAATAAAGTTGTACCCAAGCAATAAATGGTAAAAAAAAAACTCATGGAAATCACTAAACAGTTTAATATAGATTAATATATGGTTACTGATAATATATTAATATAAAACAAAAGTTTTTCAAAAAACCTCTATCATTTTCCCCTGCAGTTTGAGCAAGTAAAGAAAATGAAGCAGTCTAAAATGATTATTTAAGCTTGCTTTAAATCAACACTTTGGTGCAGAGGAAGTTTTTTAAGATTTATCTATGATCAGATTAATGGTGGAATGAAGTTCAGTCTGATTAATTGCAAATATTTTAATAGATTCCAATAATAAGTTTGTCTACAGAAACACACTCTGAATACAACCCAGCTGAATATATAGGGTCCTGTTCAGTCCTGGACATAAAACAACAGCCTGTTTCAGCAGCCCCTTTTATTTTCCAGAGTTTTTCCTACTTTCATCTATCCTTTTGATTATTTTCGTTTTTGGCGGGATTTTGTATCTTTCTCACACTTTTTCTAACATACTACCAACTGAACTGAAGAGCTCCTTCAGTGACAGACTGCTGCACCCTAAATGCACCATGGAGCGTTATCACAGATCCTTCCTTCCAGCAGCTGTAATACTCTATAACCACCACTGTTCCCAACAACCTCAATAAGTTGTTATATTCATGCAGATTTTGCACAGTTTCTATCTTGGTGAGTTAAATAACATGCTGCTGTCATTTTACACATTTCTGATGTTGCTGCTATTTTCACATATCCATTACTGTAAAAATGTCCATAGCTGCATATTGGTGATTTATCCTCTAGGTGTACAGTATTTATATGTGAAAACACTTACAATACAGTGTTTTATTTTTTTTATTTTTTAACGCTTTCTAAGGTCAACATTTGTGTAACCATTTTTTCTATAATCTTTTTAAACACCATAATTTCCCCATTGTGGGACAATAAAGGGATTTTCTATTCTATTCTATTTACGCATTGTTTTTTTTCTGCCACATGGGAGAAAATATTAAAAGAAACTGGGAGATTGCATTAATTTATGAACTATGCAACCATTTGCAACCTACTGATCATGTGGAAACAGACAAAAGGAAAACTCTTAATGAAAGGAGGGAGCAGACCCAGGCTATGACAGACTGCTGCTGGTTTAAGAAGCAGAGCAGAGACACCAAAGGAAGACAGAAGCACTGATCTAGGCGTACTTTTCTATGTTACAAACACGGTTGTTACATAGCTAAGCAGATAAGCTCTGAGCCGGAAAATAAAATCTATGGTATAAATCTAAGCAGATGTCATTAGACACAGCAAGAGCTCCTTCAACTGCTTTGGAGAGGCTTTATGATGATGATGATGATGCCTTCCTGGGTACTGTTATCTTTGGAAATTGCAAAGATAAAAAAAAGAAAGTTGGCCCTGGAACAACAGGTGTGGTGGACCTACCTCACCTTCGCCACTTTCAGCACAATCCGTTGTGAATTAAAAACATTTATAGATTGATTTCAGAATCCGAGCCCCATGTTTTGAAAGCGCACATGGCTTACTATGAGCTGGTGAAGATTCTCAGGCATCACTAATTGCACTATGACTCTCACTATGACTATCAAAGAAGTGGAATCTGACTGGATCTAAATATTAACCTGAGATCTGAGTTTATTACACTCAGACTCAGCAGGAATTCCTAATATTCTGCCTGTAATGCACATAATCTCTGATTCACTTTAAAACAAATCTTATATCTGCTGGGGGAGACACTGAAATCCTATAATGGAGATTATTATGCACATTGGTGCAGATGGATGGAAGAATAAAGGAGGTGATAACAGAGAGTGTTATTATTTTCCATGAATTTCCATCCCACAGATCCTTACTCTGACAGTCATTATACACTGATTATGAGTGGATATGAAAAACACCGGAATGTGACGACATCTTTCATTTCATAAAGTCCTGTTTAAAAGTCCCAGTCTCTAGAATATTGTAGTAGAATATTGTTCTAAAGAGGATATTCAAATTAAAGAGAGGTTTTCCTTTGTCTTGCTGGGATCAATCAGTAAAAATTTCACGGTCTGAGATGTATGCTGGTGCAGCGCTCGCATCTTATCAGCTGATCCTGATTATCGACATGTTCAGTAACCGCGACTTACTGTGTACAGATGGGATTTAAATCTGCTCTTTATTATATGGATCTTCCACGTTGTCTTAAGCATGAGGAGAGGTCTGCTAAGTTGGACTCTTACATTTAAATCATCAGTGTTTATTCTGGGCTTCCGATTCTTTCACTTTGACTTTTATTGTTTGATAATATTAGATTATATTCGACTCGTGGATCAATATTTTGCAGAAATGAGGTGTGATTTATTAACACGGATACATAGCTGTTGGGTTTTTTCCTATTAGCCAAGTTTTTAGTTATTTTATCATTGTGCGTTTGTTTTCTGCACATAACATCTTGTTGTTTGCTCTGGCAGGTCCTAATAGACTTTATTCAGATTGTGTTTAAAACACATAAAACAGGGATCATTTTTAAGAGGATGATGTCTTAGTTAATGAACCAAAAATAAAGATGCAGTCTGTTTGCCTCTGAAGAAAAACTTGGATTTGAGGATTAATGTTACAAACATCTAAATGTGGTTCAGTTGGTAGTTTAAAAAACAGCTGCTGCTTCTCATCAACCAGGGTGATTGTAATCTGCAATCAAAGCTGTTATTAAAGCTTTTTCTATTGTTCTGTTTCTGTGTTTGAGTAGTTGACGTAAATTCATGGAGGTTTGTTAGGTTTATTCAATGATGATAATAAAATTAATGTATGTACATATAAAACATTGGAGTAATGATATGCTTCACTCTGTCTTATGATTCAAACTGACTGTGATTCAGTCAGTGGAGCATCCTGTCTTATGACCTGATCAATTGTCCTGTCAGAACAATACTCTGTTTTGTAACCATGTGTTATGTTCTGTTAATAAAAAGGCTCTGCAGAGGAGGTTCGGGAGAGAGAGAGAGTTGGAGTGTTGGGTTTGGCTCTTTCCCCTTCTGCAGAAGCTGTTGTTGAAAATCCCTTTCTGTGTGTACTCAGTCCTACTTTTACGAACTTACATTTTTGAATCTAACAAGGTTTTTAACAGAAAGCTAATGAATCCATTGGACAGTAGTGCTAAATCCCTTGGTACCAGTAGAGATTTTATTTGACAATCCAGCTGGGAATTTTACCTGGAGAATATGAACAGATAATCCGCAAAAAGATTTTAAAAAAAATGGCAGGTTTAATTAAAAAGAAAAATGTTTAGGTTCTATCAAAGATAGCCTGAGCAGAGTGTCAAAGACATCAAAATATATGTTTGCAAGTTTCCATAAAACCATCAGATTTAACTTTAAATGAAATAGCAGCCTAATAAACACACTTGGGCCTGATACAGATCCCTGTGGGACACCACAACTGGTGAAGCTTGAGATCTTCAGTATTTTTACTTTACATAATCAACATGTTGACTTAAACGTTCAAACTTTGTGGTAACATGTTAACCATTAACAGAATGGGACTCTGAGTATGAACGTCGGGTTCATTTCCAACCATAGTTATGGATCAGATGTGTTGTTTTGCATGTATATTTTGTTTTATTTTTGGGAGGACTCCGTCGGTTGCTTGATGCCCATTGGATGGGACATAGTTTCCATAAAACACAAAGGATGATCTTAGACATAGCCCCATTTTTTCCTCTTTTGTGATTGTTTGCTTTCCTCCAACAGTTTCGCTACAAGAGCAGAGTCTACAGGCAGCCCAACATTGATGAGAAGCAGATCGCCAAGCTTCATACAAAGGTGAGACTTAACAAAACCAGTCCTATGAGCCTTGGCTTCTTTAAATGTCGTGCTTATTAAAATGCAGCTGTCATCATGGGAGCCAGTAGTGACTGTCAATGGGAGGAGGAGAATAACTAAAGCAATTAATGTCAGCTCTGACAGAGATGTTTAATGCATTTTCATTTCGAAACAGCAAAAACAGCACGCTTCCTTTGTGCTTACAGCAAATTATCTTTTAATTTTTACACACTGCAATTAAAGGAGCACATATCATGGTTGCTCTAAGATAACCTTTGCTAAACAAAGTGCTCTGAATGATAAAGAGAAGATTTATTTTATCCACCAGATGGTACACTTTACACACACACACACACACACATATATATATATATATATATATATATATATATATATATATATATATATATATATATATATATATATATATATATATATATATATATACACTATATTGCCAAAAGTATTTGCTCACCTGCCTTGACTCACATATGAGCTTAAGTGACATCCCGTTCCTAATCCATAGGGTTCAATATGACGTCGGTCCACCCTTTGCAGCTAGAACAGCTTCAACTCTTCTGGGAAGGCTGTCCACAAGGTTTAGGAGTGTGTTTATGGGAATTTTTGACCATTCTTCCAGAAGCGCATTTGTGAGGTCGCATACTGATGTTGGACGAGAAGGCCTGGCTCTCAGTCTCCGCTCTAATTCATCCCAAAGGTGTTCTATCGGGTTGAGGTCAGGACTCTGTGCAGGCCAGTCAAGTTCATCCACACCAGACTCTGTCATCCATGTCTTTATGGACCTTGCTTTGTGCACTGGTGCACAGTCATGTTGGAAGAGGAAGGGGCCAGCTCCAAACTGTTCCCACAAAGTTGGGAGCATGGAATTGTCCAAAATGTCTTGGTATGCTGAAGCATTCAGAGTTCCTTTCACTGGAACTAAGGGGCCAAGCCCAGCTCCTGAAAAACAACCCCACACCATAATCCCCCCTCCACCAAACTTTACACTTGGCACAATGCAGTCAGACAAGTACCGTTCTCCTGGCAACCGCCAAACCCAGACCCGTCCATCAGATTGCCAGATGGAGAAGCGCGATTCGTCACTCCAGAGAACGCGTCTCCACTGCTCTAGAGTCCAGTGGCGGCGTGCTTTACACCACCGCATCCGACGCTTTGCATTGCACTTGGTGATGTATGGCTTGGATGCAGCTGCTCGACCATGGAAACCCATTCCATGAAGCTCTCTGCGCACTGTTCTTGAGCTAATCTGAAGGCCACATGAAGTTTGGAGGTCTGTAGTGATTGACTCTGCAGAAAGTTGGCGACCTCTTCGCACTATGCGCGTCAGCATCCGCTGACCCCGCTCCGTCAGTTTACGTGGCCTACCACTTCGTGGCTGAGTTGCTGTCGTTCCCAAACACTTCCATTTTCTTATAATACAGCTGACAGTTGACTGTGGAATATTTAGGAGCGAGGAAATTTCACGACTGGATTTGTTGCACAGGTGGCATCCTATCACAGTTCCACGCTGGAATTCACTGAGCTCCTGAGAGCGACCCATTCTTTCACAAATGTTTGTAAAAACAGTCTGCATGCCTAGGTGCTTGAATTTATACACCTGTGGCCATGGAAGTGATTGGAACACCTGATTCCAATAATTTGGATGGGTGAGCAAATACTTTTGGCAATATAGTGTATATATATATATATATATATATATATATATATATATATATATATATATATATATATATATATATATATATATATATATATATATAGAAAGGAGCTAAATAAATATTCTACTTTAATAAACTCTAGGAACAATTTCAAAGCAATTTACAATTTAACAATTTACATATAGGAGATGTAAACAGGTAGCCTGATGTAGTCCTACTCAATTCTAGTCAGAATATGAGTCTGATTCTGCTCCATAGAGCTGTGATTATGGGGCGTGTTTCGAACGAACCAGGAAAAAAAATGCCTCTGCACTCAATTGGATAGACCTACAACCAATAAGAGCAACGGAGTGCGTGACGCATGTTAAGCGACGCATAGTTGTTGTCAACAAAAATCAAAGCGTGCTGTTGCACGCCTAGAATAAGAAGATGAGCCTTGATCGCGTTTCTCTGTTCCTCTTTTAAAATTAATTTGTTGTCGATATCTTCTAGAACAGACCTAATAGCAGAATCTACACACCTCAACTCTCCGGCGGCAGCCATTGTTGTTGTCACCCAAGCGCGCTTTGGTCACGTGGTTGATTACGTTACTGTTGATCATCTGTCCATCATCGTATAAAGCCCGCCCTGACAATTTGATTGGCCCGCCAGATATTGTGCGAGCATACTCGTGCTACTGTTGAGCAATGCCAGACCGAACTTCTCGACCTCAAACGTTGTGGGCAGGACTAAGTTCGGAATGGCACCCAGGCTAGTAAACAGGGGGACAGATATAACAAACTACCTAAATATTTGAATTGTTTCACTGTCATTATGGGAACAATTGTAATTGGGATAAGATTGCTAAAACCTATAGATGAAGGTTTATCTAATCCTTTTATTTTATTTTACCTTTTATTTTATATGTATTTCTAATGTAGACATAAAATAAGTGACAGGTCAAATAAGTGATTGATAGGTGCAGCAGAAGGTTGCCTGAAAAATAAGATGACCAAACTTTAAATGTAATTCCATTTATTATCACGCAATGTGGAAATTTGTTCTCTGCATTTTGATCCATCCCCTTGGGGAGCAGTGGGCTGGCATTGTGTGGCCTCCTGGGAGCAATCAGGAGTTAAGGGACTTGCTAAGGAACCCAGAGTGGGTTCCAGTGGGGATCGAACCGGGTACCTGCAACCCTCTCAGACCAAAAGCACACTGCTATAACCACTATATGCAAACGTTACTGTAAGACTGTAGTTTTACTCACACTAATCATTTTATGACAAACACATTGCATTGCTAGATGGAAATAATACCTTAACATCAAAAAAGTTTCATAACATTTCCTGGTAAAATACATGTTTAGGACAGAGTTACTTATTAATAATAACAGTTATTATCAGAGAAATCATTTTACCAGGTGGTAAAAAAGGAAACTGCTTCTGTTTTTCGTGGCTAATGGGAGGAATTTATTAATCTCAATGATTTGCTGAGTCAGATTTTATGAAGAGATCGATTACTCATCATTAGGACATCTGATATTATCCTGATATGAGCAATAATTTAGATTTAGTTGTAGTAAAAACAACATGACCAACCTTTAATAAAACTCTAATTCCTTAAAAATATGCACTTACATTAAATAACTGGGTTCTTTCAGATAAATATGTCTTGAAGTTGTGTTTCTGGATCCCCCTACCTTTCCCAGCCCGCTCTGCACTCTGCTCTACCTTGTTGTGGTATCATAAAGCAGGAGAGCAGCCAGACGTCTAAAGAGAAAAGATCTCCCACATCCTCCCACTTCAGTCTGACAGACAACGGGAAAATGCAATGCAAACACCTCAGACAAGTCTGGTTCGCACCAAAGCTGGTACCAAAATACGACATGGAGATTACAGATTACAGATCGTATGCAAATATTTTGCTGCTTTATTGATTTCAGATTATTTGGGTTTGATTTTGGTCACTTGAACAGTTTTAAAGAGGGGAGATGTCCTCATTCACCTCAGCTGTCCTCTTTATTTATTACATAATTGCATAAATTGTTATATTTTCATTTTTTTACCCTCTGAGGGTGAAGAACAGATCCGTCTTGCTGCCCTTCTATTCCTCCTATGTGAAATAAAATGAATTTCCAGCCCCTTCGTTGTTTGGTTCCAGCTCTGGGCTGCTGTCCTGCTTCCAAAGCATAAATGTCTGTGGCAGCTCTCTCCTACAGGACCTGGTAAAACTGTCTGACAGCAGCTCTAATTTCACATTCGACTGGAGGAAACAGAGGACAGGGGAAGAAACACAACCAGAGAGGAAAATAAAAAAAGCTAGAGGAGGAACAAGCTCATAAATATGGAACGGGGACATAAATATATACAGTCAAGTTTCTAAAAAGTTATGGCTCTGAACAAGTGTTTCTTTGGCATACTTTGTATTGTAAAAGGCAATATTTTGCAGAAGTTGTATATTTCTAGAAGCTAATCCTGTTTGCTTTGCTGTCTGGTGCTTTGTGGCTGCCAGAAATTCTCGAGAAGGAAGCAGATCAATGTCTAGGCTCCCCCTGTTTAAGGGAAGAGCTAGAGAGGAGATGCCACTTTCCTTCTGCTCCTGATTCATCAGTCCTGCAGAGACAGACACTCTGGGGACAGGCTGGACTGGGCACATTAAATAAAACACGGGACAGACACTCGGAGACAAGAACATGATCCTTTGACATTTCCAGATATTGAACTGCTGGTGAGTCACACAGCTGTCTGTCTATCTGAGGGAAAACTGAGTCGCTTCCAATTACTCCTTGCTTCCAGTGAAACTGGTAATACAACCATCAGTATTTACATAGCTGCCAGTTACAACGTTCAGTCAGCATGAAAAGGTATGCGCTCCATTCCTAGGAAAAACACTTTATCATCCTGGGTTTACTCTCATTTCTGCAGTCAGGAAATTGTCCTTCGGGTGATAATCTCTTTTCCGTATTTAACAAACATTTCATGGAACAAACTTTGCTCATCCTATTACCAAGACAGGAAAGTAATTTTTGGTTATCGTAGATTTATTTGAATCCTACTTTCTTCCAGATGTGAAATCTTTGTTCAGCAGTAATAAAAAAGAAAAGTTGGATACATAAATTTAAAGGTACAGAGTTACCGTTTATACCTACAACAAAATGACAAAAATCCAGCTGCTTATGATAAAACAAGTCTACATACTGTAAGTGCCATGCTGAGAGTATTTTGTTTGTCCTTTTTTAGCCTAAATAGAACCTCAGCACCCGGTGCCATAGCACATAAACAGACATGGCACCATCTGCTGGCAGTATCACTGAAGTACCAGAAGTCCAGGTGGTGGCCA